TAGAATAGTCGTTCAACAATCATCCTGCGTAACATACACATGACATGTCATGTATATGTCACGCAAGACAACTATCGTAACAAGCCACTAAGAATAACATTATTCTCTTTTTCTGATAGAAATTTCAGTTTATTGTGTGAAATAAAGAATCTACCTTGTGTTTCTATCGATAAAAAAATTAAAAATTTCATTTTAAAACATACTTTTTAACTTGGAATAAACGTTTTAGTATGGCCTAGTCTTACACTTGGCAACAACAATTAGAGCCGTGCTGCTTGGCCAGAGTCAACTTTCAACCAAAAAAACAGGTCAGGTTTTTCCTAACTATACTATTGTTTGAGCCCCACTCTTTTAAAAATTTATTTTTTGTAACAACATGAAGATTGCTACTTGGATCATTAGGGGATTGAACTCCCCCTAAAACAAAATGGGGTTCGAAGCTTCTTGAAACAACATGATATTGATATTGTGGATATTTTGAAAACAAAGTTGGATGAGGTGAAGTTAAGCAGGATTATGCAGAATAAATTTGGTGGATATTCACAAATTAACAATTTCCATACTCACCAAAATGGCCAGATTATGGTCGTTTGGAATTCCATGAAAGTTGAAGTTGAAGTATTGGAGATTTCGCCGCAGTCATTTATTGCTCCATTAAGTAAGGTAACTTCACTTACCTTTCTTGTTAGCTTTGTTTATGCTTATCACACTATTGTGAGTTGCTCGCCTCTTTGGAATAGCATTATGGAGCATGGTTTGAATTGCTTTTCACCTTGGTTGCTCTTGGGAGATTTTAATAATGTGCTTAAGTTTGATGAAAAAATTAGTAGAGCGGATGTTACTCTCTATGAGGTGAAGGATTTGAATATTGTTGTCTAAGTGTTGGACTCTTCGATGTGAGATCTACTGGACGCTTTTTCACTTGGACTAACGGCTCAACTTGGAGTAAGCTAGATAGGGCCATGGTGAATGAAGCTTGGATGCAAGAAGGTTTTAATAGCTTTGCTAATTTCCTACCCTCGGGTTGCCTATCCGATCACTCGTCTTGCATTGTTTCTATTTTTGGGGAAGTTGAAAGGAAAAATATTCCATTTCGGCTCTTCAACATTTGGATAAACCATGATGATTTTTATGAAGTGTATGTAATGGTTGGAATCAAGATGTATGGAGAACAAAGCAATTCTCACTTTGTAAGAAGATGCAAAATCTTAAAGGTTTGCTTAAGAAGCTCGATAGCAAACATTTCTCACATATTTCATCAAGGACCAAAGTTGCTTCGAGGAGATTGGAATTGATGCAAGTTGACTTACAAAATGATCCCACTAATCGTCAATTACGAAATGATGTGGCAAGGTTGAGGAAAGAAGCTATGAATCTTTGTGAAGCGGAAAGGAGCTTCTACTATCAACAAGCAAAATGTGTCCACTTGAGGGAGAGCGACAAATGTACAAAGTTTTTTCATTCTATGGCTAAGAGAAACATGAAGAGAAAATATATTACGACTATTATTAAAAGGGATGGCACTTATTCTACTTCTCAAAAAGTAGCGGAGGAATTCATCCATTTCTACAGTGAATTGTTGAGAAAAGACAGCTTTGAACAACCCTTCAATGCTGAAATTATGAATAATGGTCCCGTATTATCGGAGGAAAATGCCATGTTACTTGATCGAGAAGTCACGAGACATGAAATCAAAGATGTCTTATTTAGTATCGAGGATGATAAGTAACCGGGACCAAATGGGTACACTTCATATTTTTTAAGAAGACTTAGGATATTGTCGGTCAAGAGTTCATGGAGGCAATTGGAGAATTCTTTACTTCGAGGTCTCTCCTCAAGCAAATCAACCACACGGTTATTACATTAGTTCAAAGACTTATCATTCGCATACCGTGGAAGAGTACAAACCGATTGCTTGTTGCAATGTGTTTTATAAAATGGTCACTAAAATTCTATCTTCTCGTTTGAGGCCTATATTTGGTTCAATTGTTGATCAAGCTCAAGACGCATTTGTGGAGGGTAGAAGCATGGTGTAAAATATTCACTTGGCCCAAGAGCTCTTAAGGCAATATAATCGAAAAAGGGAATCTCCTAGGTGCCTTCTCAAAATTGATTTGAAGAAAACTTACGATTCGATAAATTGGGATTTTCTTAAAGAGGTGCTTGAGGGGTTGCGATTCCCTACTACATTCATTGATTGGGTGATGGAGTGTATTACTACTCCTACATACTCTATTAAGCCTCCATAGTTTCATTAAGGGAAGAAAAGGCCTTTGCCAAGGTGATTCTCTTTCTTCGTTCTTATTTGTGTTCTTTCTTCGTTCTTATTTGTGTTGTGTCTTCAATATTTTTCTAGAATGGTGAAGGGAGCTACCTTGAATAGTGATTTCAATTTTCATCCTAAATGTGCACTGTTAAAGATTACTCACTTGGCATTTGCGGATGATTTAATGCTCTTTGCTAGAGGGGATGTCATGTTGGTTGAAATTTTGATGAATTGCTTAACTAGCTTCAGTGATATGTCAGGACTTAATATAAACATTAACAAGTCTTGCGTATATACCGCGGTGTGCATAGACAAGAGTTGGAGGATATTCTTGCTCTTACTAACATTCCCAAGGGTTCCATGTCATTCCGATACTTGGGGATTCCACTTGCAGCGGGAAAATTGAAAGTAAGTTCCTATGAATCCTTCATCAACAAAATCTCATCTCATATTAGAAGTTGGTCTTCTACCTCTATAGCTTATGCGAGAAGAGTGGAGCTTATAAGAGCAGTTCTTCAAGGAGTGGAATGTTTTTTGTCATCAATTTCTCCCATTCCGGCCGCGGTTACCTTTAAACTTATTAGCTTATGCCGGAATTTCCTATGAGCATCAAAAAAACCATTGGTGGCTTGGAGAAACATTTGCCTTCCTAAGCATAAAGGTAGGCTTGGTTTTAGAGACATTAAAAGCTAGAATTTTGCACTTCTCTCCAAAACTCTTTGGAATATGCATAGCAAAAAGGATTCCCTTTGGATTAAATAGGTCGATCATTTTTTCCTTTAAGTGATAGACATTTGGGAACGCAAGGTGAATAAAGATGACTCTATCGTACTTAAAAAGGTGCTAGAAATTAGGGATAGTATCTTGGGTGCTGAAGGCATGCTCCAGGCCGATATGGACAGACTGCGTTGCTAGACGGAGATTGGGAATTTTTGCATCTCGACTGCCTATGATTTCCTCAGGCCGAAGGGTGCAAAGGTTGTATAGGCAGCGACTGTTTGGTAGGCGTCCATTACTCCTAAGCATGCCTTCATTCTTTGGTTGGTTGTTCAGACCAAATTGCTTACCAAGGATAAAATTCAGTACTTGGATTTAGACTGTAGATGTATACTTTGTGGATTAATGGAGGAGACAGTACAACATCTATTTTTCTCCTGTCCATTCAATAGTTCTATTTGGTGAAAGATTCAAAGGTGGTTGGTCATCACACGTACAATGTCCACCTTGTCGAGTGCAATGAAATGGATGAGAAAGGTAGCACGGGGAACGACTTGACAAAGCAAAGTTAAGAAAATTGCACTTGCTACTTCCATTTACTACATTTTGATGGCTAGGAACAAGAAGATTTTTACAGATCTTGTACCACACTGTGTTGTAAGTCGGATTAAAATGCACGTATACAAAGTTATGTTCACTTTGTATCTATATGTTTTAATTCATTATGAATCATTAACTTTGACCTCTTAGCTATTATGGTTTGTACGCCAATTCTTTTTACTACCCAGGTATGCCTAGGGATGTAAACGAGCCGGCTCGCGAGCCTAAAGTTTCAGTTCGGACTCGGCCCTATTAAAATGGCCAAACTTTTTTGTGGGCAAAAGCTCGACCAAAAAAAAGGCTCGGCCCGAGCTTTCGCTCGAACTTTTTTCGAGTCGAGCTGGACAAACTCGTTTTTTCCCCTTTTTTTCCTAAGCTACTGCCTTTTAAGGCAGCAGTTCGCTACCTTTAAAGGCAGCAGTTCGCTGCCTTAAATGGCAGTAATTTTGCTGCCAAGGTAGCCTCAAAATTATTATTATTATTTTATTTTTTTTAAAAAAAGCTCGCAAGCTCACGAGCCAACTCGAGCAAAGCCCGTGTCCCCAAAATGGAGCTTGGCTTCCTTTATTTTTAAACACATTCTTCATTAACCCACTCAAAATGCATTCTTTCCTTCAAAATTGGGCTCACACAAAGGGTAGGATGCTATAACATTCTGTATACAGCGAGGCACCTAAAAATAAAATCGTTTAAAACGAACCAATATAAAAACCTTACTCGTAAAAGTGCACACAGTATGAAAATGCTCCAATCATATTAGCAAAAGTAACATAGCATCATCTTTCACTTAATTGATTGTTTTGCAATACATGTACTTAATTTCGTTCCACAAAATAGAAATACAGTTGGGCTTTTCTTAAAAACTTGTCTACACTATTACAACATCAATTATAGTGAAAGCTACCAGCATCTTCGTAACACACAATAGTCTACACTTATTTGGCCCAACTAAACTCACAAGCCAATCCTACTCTTGAAGATTTGCCTCCCAAGCTTGCGCTCCATGGAAAATCCGCGATAAGCACACACCCACTTACGAACAAAACCTACACAATACACACACTTTCCCTCATGCTATGCCGTGAGTATCAGCAGCAGGGCTCCACACGCCTGCTTGTTCACAAAGATCTAGCAAGTCCAAGGTCTGTCGTAAAGTAAGAATTTGGAACCATCAGTTCCTATCCTTAAACGAAGGAATTGCAGAACTTTGCAATTTGGACTGCTCATTGTTTGCTCAGTTTAAAAAGTTATAAACAAATATCTTTTCCGTCAATCAAAACCGGCAAGAAGTTACTTGTTTTGAGTGTAAGGTGAGAGTTGTATCCAAAATAACAAACTTTTTTGGCTTAAAAATATGAAGAAAATAAGTTATACTGAAGTGTTTGGAAACAAAAAGTTACTTAAAATTAACTTGCTATTTATCTTTAAGCTTATCCAAACATCTCTTTATCATCTTACCTCAGGTACAGACAACTCAAGACGAAACTTGGGACCATCATAATGATGCAAAACCGGCCTAAAAGCATCTTCCTCCAAAGGTTTGCAGAGTTTCCTTACATGAATCTTTACCTATATTAAAAGAAGATGCATTGGGTCAAGAATCAAGGCAAGAAAATACAACCCAACACACATGCATATAAGAACTGATCATCATAGTTCATAAGACTGCTTATTACCTGAGCAGGGAACCTCGACTCGCCTTTACATTTTTTATCTTCCCAAGCAGTAGGGTCAATGTTGGAACCTCCAAAACTCGCTGCCTGTACAAAGAAAATACAATAAACATTTAAAAAGAGTTCATCAAAAGCCAAAAAGGGCATTCATTAGTTGTGCACAATGACTCAAATCATGACTTCATGTTTTACTGGTCGGAAGTGTTATCCCTCAAAATATTGTGAAAGCTATAGCTACTTTCTGCTCAAGGAAACTTAACAAATTCCATACTAGATTTCAAATCCTGGTACATTTGGGAATGATTTCCTTTCCTAAAGTTGGAACAGCAGGAAATCCATAATTAAAAGTTAGGATTTGTATTTCTTGAAAGTCCGAATTATACTGAATCAAGTGAAAGTAAAATTCAAAACTTTTCAGTCTACCAGTGAAACAACCCAGGAAGGATCATTTAAATCTAAACTTGAAGAATTGTAGATGCAAAAGCTCGCATATAGTCTCATCATGGTACCGCTCAGATATTGTTGCATAAAATATAAAACAGAAATAGCAATGAACCTCAAAAACACCGTGCAACTGATGATTAGTGTAATTGTAGAGGAACAAGGGCAAGCCTGGTGTTATTGCCCTCACTGAGTCTCTATATCTTGGTGGTAAACCTGCAATAGAATGTACAGATATAAGCAGTGCTGATAACTACAAGGACTCCAGTAATACAAAGGCTGTGAAATGTGGACAAGCATGTGCAAATATTTTGACTTTTCCCATGCACTTTTAATTCGAAAGTGCAAAATAAATTTTGAACCGTGTGAAATATCACCAATGTTCCTCAAAACCTGGCTTGGATTGTTATTATTAGAACTTCAAATCAGAATATTCATTAATTTTATTCAGCTTATCCAGCAAAAGGAATTAATATTTAATAAAGATAATCAATAATTCAGGATTTGATGCATGGTTAAAGCCCACAACTCCCACACCATGCCTCCTATTGAACCCTACACAATATGCCTCACAAGCAAATGCTTTCCGATCTAAAAGCAAGTTCGGCTGAGCCTAGGAAGATGAGAAAACTGAAAATTACTTGTAACTTCTTGTTTTGAATCATGTTTTGGTAACTTACTTTTAGGTGAGATTTACTTTAAAAGTAGATCTTGTCAAAAATAAGTATCTAACTCCTTTTCAACTTAGACGAATTAAAAAATATTTATTCTAAAACTTATTTTTAGCTGACAATAAATTTCACAAGCTTAGCCTAACAAGCTCTAAAAAAAGTATGGCCCATTTTTTCATGACAAACATCCACATTCAATCAAAGATCAACAGTAGCATGATAAGGGAATCGTATAATTACCAAATAGTTGCCGCTTTAAATCTTCCTGCATTGTGTCATTGTTGCAAACAAAGATATACCCACCAAGAACCTCGTCCCTAGGAAGAGTCTCTGCTGCAGGCAAAGTCTTAAACCTTTTGTCCACTGCACTGCTCGCATTTGTGTTCTCCTCCTTGTTATTACTGTTGTTACTGCTGCTCTTCACAGGCTCCTTGTTGAGGTTGTTATTGCTATATTTGCTTCCAGCTATATTTCCCAAATTGACATTAGGATTTTGATACACAGCATTCATATTGTAAATACCATTTCTGATGGGGCTTTTAGCAATGTTTTCGGACATTTTGGCATCCAAATTTAACATATTGAAATTAAAGCTTTCAAATTTGTTATCTTCTTGAAATCCAAAATTATCTCTAGGCCTCAATTCAGTAGGACCTTTTGAGAAATCAAGGTTGTTCCTCCTCTCTCCCTTTGACCTTGTCTGCTCAGCCAATTTAGAAGCAGCCATTAACCATTTGTGATCCTCTGAGACTCTTGATTGCCCTCGAAGGTCATCTCCCAACTGCCAAAAGCTATGGATACTCTCCATGTTGCAGAATCTAAAAGGAAGTATCCATAACAGAAAATTGTCAGTTATATTGCATCCCACAGGGAAAGTGAAAATATTCTAGCGAGTAGGTGTACACTCGTTGGTCAATCAGCAATCATTTGAATACATTCAAATAGCATTATCGTGAACCAGCAGGGGCAAAGAGTTCTGGCATGCAGAATCAAATTCTATCTAAAAAATTCTTTGGCTTAAATGCAATCAGCAATCATTTGAATACTTTCAAATAGCATTAGCGTGAACCCGCAGGGGCAAAGAGTTTTGGCATGCAGAATCAAATTCTATCTAAAAAAAACCTTTGGCTTAAATGCAAATCAAACGAAAAGCAACCAGTAACATAAACCAGAATTAGCTTTTCCAAACTAGGAGCATTGAACAAGCAAAACATTACATCCTGGAACATTAGAATATACTAATAACATGTTTGGCTTAGCTGAAATGCTACAGAAGTAACGAATTTTACTGCCAAAAGAAGACAATTCTTTTAGCTTATTTTGAGCGGGGGGGAAGAACCCACCAAAGTGCATCTTCCTTTGTTCTGTAGACAGAAGCATATGCAAACATGCTCAGACGCTCCAACTTCTAAGCACAAAGGTTTATCATCCAACGTTTAATTTGCGGAAAAAATCTTCCAAATATTGATTTTTGATACATACATGTAAGAAATTCTGAAAGATTTAAAATTTCACTACATAATATAGCTCTAAACCAACAACGTACACTGAAACAACTTTGCGGAGAGTATAACCACTATTTGAAAGGAAAATTACACATTTTTTCTTCAAAAATCGTGAATCAAAAAGAAATAAACCTCAGATCAAGCAAACTGAAAAAAGAACAGTCAAATAATCTTTACCAACAGCAGTACTTCACTCAAAGTTGACAAGCAGTACTCTAATCAAGCATCGAGAAATGCAAGCACAATCAAAACAATATGAGCGCAACTAACAACAGATTAATCGATCAACTTATAAATGTATATAGCACCAAATAATTTTTGGTCAACTAGCAAAAACAAACTTAAATTGCTAGTTTTATTGTTAAGATACGAAAACCAAGGACCTGATCTAGGATACAAGCATAAAATACTTGCTCTTTAAAGAACCCTAGATTTCGGGATCCAAAGCTGAAAGCTACTCACCTTTATTGCTTAGGCTGCGAAAACAATGGAAGATGCAATGCAGGAGAGGAAAATAGAGATTTTTCACAATTTGTAGGAAGGATTCGAGTAGAAATGCCATGAGTTTTGCCTTCAATCACAATACTGCCATTACAGCTTCAAATTATTTTCCACAGGAAAAGACAGGTCCACCAGAATTGAATGGTACTGTCGGTAGAAAGATTACCTAATTACTCATTTTTCAAAATTTTTTAAAACTTATTTTGGTCATATATTTTTCTAATAAAATAATTTTTAATACAATCACATATTCTTTTAAAAATAACTTTTCATAATATCTATTTTCGAGGATAAACAATGATTGAAATTTGTGTTTTTAATTTTTATTCTTTGAAATTTGTAAATTGGGTCTCCTTCACTATTATTTTTTAAAGTTAACCTTTAATTTAAGGTCTGTTTTAAAGTGATTTTGAGAATTGATTTTTTAACTATTAGGAAAAAAGTGGAGTCCACGTGTAAATGAAGAAGTCAAATATGACGGCTGATATAGTGAAATAACGGTCAAAAAATCAATTTTTTGGGAGAAAAATCGCTCCCAAACAAGCCCTTAAGCTTTGTTTGTCATCCTTTAAAAAAATAAATTGTTTACTATGGTAACATTTTCTACCATGCATTTACACAATAAAATATTCTATACACAAATCAATAATTTTTTTAAAATTATAACTACACATTTTCCAAAAATTACTATTCGAAACTCTATATTTTCTCCTAAGATGGGAGACAAACAAGCTCTTAAAGTGTTTTCAAAATTTTTATTCAACTATCGGATTATTCTCATTTTATGTTTCTAATTTAAAAGGTATTTATATACTATTAAAATTGATGTTTATATTTGGGTAAATTCCATAATTGACAACTATGCTTTCAATTGGTGTTAATTACACAACTGTTATTCAATTTTATTCAATAGGCCAACTACTATTTAATTTGTTTTCAATTGAATAACTTAACTTTAATTTTATTTTATTCAAGTAACCACACTTTGATTTGATTTCTTAAGACAACTTTGTTAAATTTCATTGCTGAAGTTGATGAATTGATAGTTAATAAATGATGCTCATCACGTGTAACTATTAGTCATAGACATAGAAGAAGCACAATTTAATGAAAAAAATCATTTTTTTTTACTTTCATGTCGACGATTCATGTTAGTCTGAGTAAAAGGTATTGGTCAAAGTTACTAGATTAAAAATAAATTAAAGTGTAGTCACTCAACTAAACGAGATGGGAGTATAGTTATATGGTTGATACTAAGTGAAAGTATACTTATCACGAATGAAGTTCACCTGTTTATATCCTCTTCAAATAGTTTGCATGAAGATCGTAAATTTTCGACTATTCCCCAGTGTTTAGCCAACAATTTTTACCAAGATATTAGTTTTTCAATCTTATTATGTTGAGTTGCAGAGCGTGTTGCTTAGTCTGAAATATTATGACACCAATTGAATCAAACAATTATACTAGAGATATTTTTACGACCAAACCATCAGGATGTGTGCAATTGACCTATCGTTTGGCTAGGAATATAAATTTTTGGGGCATATCGAGTTTCAATCCTCTGATAGAATTCTGCTCGAGTGTTGCAGTTGCTAAGTCCCCGTTTTGCCCTCATTAATTTCAATTTCATTACATTTTATTTTTCTCTCTCCTATTTTCAACCATACAATTTTTCATAAAATAATATCAAACGTCAACCGAAAATTTTTCCTTCCTTTTCAACTACTCATTTTTCAAAAAAATACTATTCCATCCATTTTCATTTTCTTAAAATAGGAGCTAAGATTAAAGCCCTGTTTGAGCCACGTTCTTGAACAGTGATTTGACATCATTTCAACCATATATTTTTCATCAATAGACTATTCAAAAATGCATTTTTATGAAAATAATGTGGCTCAAACAAGGGCTAAATTTTCCCTTTGGAAGGTTGTTATGAATATTCTCTCGACTAGCCTATAATTTGAGGCTGAACACATATATCGATATCAACAGGTTCAAGGTTTATCAAAAAGAATTTGTAAAGTTTTATAAAATCGTCAATATTTAATATAATTATGCACACTAAATAGCAGTTTCAAACTTTCAAAACTCCTCATAGCACTTAGCTTGTCAACGTCTCTCAACTGTGTCCTTTAACATGTTAGGTAACTCAACATTTAATAATTACCGCAGATCAATGCACTATAGGTGATAAAAGCACTAAATTATTGATGAAAAAAACGTGAAAACTCAAACATGCATGTGATCTGTTTAAAGTTCATACCAACAGTCAAATTTTACGATTGGTGTTTTCAAACGAATCAATATCTTATACGGCATATTAAGAATAAATTCCACTTTGGCTAAATTTGCAAATGTTAACCAACACGTATATAATTGGGATACACATCTTAATAAGTGACTTTTATTTTGGAATTTTAAATCTCAATATACAAGCCTTAGACTCACCCACGACAAGTATCTTGACATTCATACAAGTATTTTTTAAGAAAATACATGTTCACATCCTTATATAGAGTCTTTGCTTACTTCAATTTACTCGAGTAAAGAATGTCTATAAATTTATCTTCGTGTAAAAGAATCTCCCTACAACAATTTAAAGTGGTCCTTCAAGACCCATTTGATCAAGATTCTAATGTTAATCTTATTCACAATATACTACATAGTTCTAAAATATATGAGAAGAGTCAAATCAAGATTTTCAACTTTGCTCCTAGCTCCTGTAATAATGTAGTTTTAGACTCTCATCTTTAGCTGCTTCAACATCCTTTACTATTAGTTGTTCAAATTCTATTTTAGCCTATCGCCTTAGATTTCTTTATTTCACGCCTGCCTTCATATACAGCGGCGGGTGTAACTACTTCTACGGATTAGCAACTCATCAACTGTCGCAGTGTGATGGAATGGTGACTTTATCGTTCATAGAAATCAATGATTATATGTCCAAATCCATTCAATTTAAGCTGGCAAATCTATTCCTTGTAAGTTATCTTGTCTACATCCATTATTCATTGTTTGGTGGTGCCAATGGTATGGTTCTCATATATAAATAAATAATACATAGTCTAGCTGTAATGTTATCTAAGTTGAAGACCATAATCTTTTTTATAACATCAATTATAATTACTTTTCTGTGATTAATTTACTTTTTAAGTTATTTTTTATATAGTTATGGTATAATACACATGGTAGGGCCATGGGTACCAATAAATCAAATGCCCATAGTTGGAATCTAGATGATATATTGGAGGGATATGCAGTTGTATTGCTGCTTATAACAATTATTATGGGAATTAATGAATAATATGATTATTGGTTGAAAATTAAACTAACAAAACTTTTGTTCTCTTGCCCTTGTCTAGGAGGAAAAATTTTATTGCTAACCCAAATTAATTAATTTATGAAGAAGTGCATTTGGAGTCTCCAACTTGTGAATGTTTAATGTCATTTTGGGTTCAATACAATAATTTTTATTTTAGTTTTTACAAACAAGTTTTTGACTTTCAATTTTAGCCATAAATTGAAAAGATCAAAATCAAACTCAAATTGTAGGAGTAAAGCATTACCACAATAGTGACTTGAGTTCAAATCTCATTTGAGCGAAAGGATGAAATTAGAAAGAAAAAAAGAACACGATAAAAAATAAAATAATAATAATAAGAAGAAGAGGAAGAAGGACAATAATAACATTGTTCTCAAAATTAAATAAAAAGGAAAAATGGAGTGGCTATGTTAACCCTACATATTTTTATAGGTACGTTCTATTATAATTGTACAAAGGTTCACCACTACTTATTATCACACCTATATCCTCAATTTTTTCTCATTACATTTTAGTTGTATAAAGGTTTCCAACCTTTACTTATTATTGCACTTTTTTCTTCTACTTTTTCTCATTATATTTTTATCCCCAAACTTTTATTAATTAGTCCAAATACATTGATAGTTTTCATCCAAAATTTTCGTCAAGAGGATGTAGAGAGACTAATTTGTCCATTACAATTTTAAATAAGAAAATTTAATGTTCTCAAAATCAGACAGAGCCAATCGATCCGACCGGAAAATCGTGAATCGAAACAAAATTGGGTTCTATTTATACTCAAAATCGAATATTTAAAAAAATTGGAAAAAAATGGCCAATTAGTTGGTCTAACCGCAAAATCGGTCGACCCGTAACCGATTTAGTGATTCTAACATTTGTATTTTCTTATCGAAATTTTGAAAAGGGACAATACATAACTCCTACGTATAAAAATCACATTTCAAAACTAAAAACCTTATTAAATTATTTCAAAATTGAGGTGTTAATGCCAATTAATAATGTATAATATATAATTAATTGAAATTAATTATCCCCACCCAATTAATAGTATATCAATTAATAATATCCTCCCACCCAAACCTGTAAAAAACTTCATAAATTGAAAATTTTCTTGGATATTACACTCCACCGACCCCATTACCTTATCCCACCCATGCCTACTCCAACCCGTAGAAAATTTTCAAAAATTGAACACCTATTCTGGAGATCACACTCGACACCATGGAATCAACCCTACCCCACCCTGTAGAAATTTTTCAAGAATTTAAATTTTTTGCTGGAGATTACACTCCACCTACAGACTAACTGTGTTATATTTATTATTTGTAACCATGAATCTATTATATATGACGAACGGTGACCAAATTTGTTTTCAATGTGATCGTCTAATTTGTGAATATATCTAACCAACTCACTAACCCTTGTTATCTGTTACTAAATGTGACCAAATTTATCTTCAGAGTAACTATCTGTGATCAAGTCAACTTAACTATGATTGTATGTGAACAAGTCACAATAGACACCGAGTTGGTCACAACCAGACATAATAAACACACATTTGTTCATATAAGGTCATCACAAATAAATCAGGACCACAATCCACTACCATCACCTCCAATGCACCATCTATTACCACATACAATTTAAAATTCAAGACCATAAATACTATCTTCAGTGATCTATGTTACATGTGACTAATTTGTCTTCAGTGTAACTATCTGTGATCAGGTCAGTCTAATCTATGACTGTATGTAACC